GGCGCGGGGCGCAAGGCCCACAGCCGCAACGGGCACGCCGACCACTTCAGAAGCAAGCAGCCCCTGGCGGGTCCCGAGGAGGAGGCGGCGGAAGCGCGCGCAGCCGCCGACGCCAGGGGACGCTGGCCCGCAGTCACGGCATCGCCCGCCCACCGGCCGGCCGGCCGGCGAGACGGCTCACGTGCTCGCCGCTGTCATCCGACGCCGCATGCATAATGCACGCCGCGATTGCACGGTGTTCCCAGGACGGCTGTGAGCGGCGGGCGGCGGCGAGCGGAGCCGCACACCGGCACACGAGACGCTCGGCCCCCGCCCTCCGGCGCGCCACCTGGCAGCCCTCCCCAGGGCGCCGCCGAAACTGACCACATCTGCCCTCGAAACATCGCATCAAAAGCTCCGACGTCGAGGCCCGCATGCCACGACCCATGTTCCGGTCGCATAGCCGTGGCATCGGTAGCCGTTAAAAGCATCCGATGACATATCGGCATGAGGAAATGGTCTGCTCCCATAAGAAGGCGGGGGAGACTTTCAATCGAGAACGAAGCGAGGCAATGGCGGGCAATGGCAGCTGCTCGTCCCTTTTACTCGCATTCGGCGACCTTCTACCAAGTCAAGTTCAAACCTGAACAATGTGCAGCCAATTACACTCCCAGAGCCTAAAATGGCACCTATGTCGCTAACCATTACGTTGCAAGCACTTAAAAATCAGGGGCATGACAAAAGTGCTCCGCACAGAATCGCTGCTCTAAGAAGACTCTTCCACCAGCACCTTATTTATCATTCGCGAAGATTAATCTTACGTTAGCAGGGCGATCCTGCGAGCAAAGGCAAAAATACTGATGTTGTGAAAACAACCACCGCCCCCTAACGGCTCACCAAGCCAAAAGAACACTCGCGCGGTAGCTCTGAACCACTCGATCGATGGCGTGCATCACATTGAAAATACTCTGGAAATACGCACGAAACGGTCACCTGCTCTGACCTGGGCGCCATCTTTTCTTCAGGAAAAAAGCAACAACATCCAGCGTAACAGACTTAAGCGAGGTATCGTTGACAATCTGGTATCATTTTCGTGCTGATATGTGATTGTTCCGGCACAATGTCGTGGTCCATGTGCGGTCGGGAGCGTCCCAGCCGGCAGCGCTCCTCTGCCCGCCGCCGGCAGCGCTCCCTCGCGCGACGCTTCACGTCGTAACCATTGAGCCGGCCAACGGCACGGCAATCTTCGCTCAATGGCGAGTGAACCCGCAACTCTGCCGCAGCGGCGGCCTGCTCGGGAAGGCTCCGATTGGCCCGGCCCTCGAACGGACCGGGCTTGCCGCGTGCCGCCCACCGGCCGAGGGGCCACGGACAGCGTCAGCGGACCGCATCGATCCCACGCTCCGGCCTGTGACGCCGGTACGGGGGCGGCGCAGCGGTCCGTCCGGGGGCGCCGCAGCGGTCTGTCTGTCCATCCGGCGGCACCGCAGCGGTCTGTCTGTCCATCCGAGGGGCGCCGCAGCGGTCCGTCCGTCCATCCGGGGACGCCGCAGTGGTCCGTCCGTCCATACAGGGACGCCGCAGCGGTCCGTCTGCCCATCCGGCGGCACCGCAGCGGTCCGTCTGTCCATCCGGGGACGCCGCAGCGGTCCGCTTGTCCGTCCGGGGGCGCCGCAGCGGAGCAGCCGCGCTCGTTTTCATTGATGTTGGAAGTTTCGCCGGTCGCCAGCAGACCGGTCTCTTCACTCCTCACGCGGCGTGACCAAGCCGCCGAGGGGGGGGGGGGGCAGCCTCGCGGACTGCCCCAGACAAGGCGTGATGGCACGACGGTGGCACGTGCTGGTCGGCGGGCCGACGCCACAGGAAGCTGGCGTGTCTGGTCCTGCTCAGACCAGATGTGTCATGGGCGTTACAATGCGGACTGCAGCCCATAAATGACATTTTCAGATGACCCTAATTCCATGATAAATGCACGCTACATTTCGGCATGTGCCGGCCGAACTGCCCCGAAATGAGTGCGTCCGGCAAAACTTCCGTCTGTCGCTCCCCGGGGTACCGCCAGATTCGTTTGAAAAATCATGAACTCAAACAAATTGATTACAAATTTCACCATACCCACACAGGGTCAGCACCTCGCGTCATTCCGAGTGGCTCCTCCTCCCTTCATCCTGAGTGGCGGCACTCCCTCCCGTCATTCCGAGCAGGGGCACTCCCTCCCGTCATTCCGAGCAGCGGCGCTCCCTCCTGTCATTCCGAGCGGCGGCTCCTCCTCCCGTCATCCCGAGCGGTGGGTCCTCCTCCCGTCATCCCGAGGGGTGGGTCCTCCTCCCGTCATCCCGAGCGGTGGGCCCTCCTCCCGTCATCCCGAGCGGTGGGTCCTCCTCCCGTCATCCCGAGCGGTGGGTCCTCCTCCCGTCATCCCGAGCGGTGGGCCCTCCTCCCGTCATCCCGAGCGGTGGGTCCTCCTCCCGTCACTACGAGGGGTGGGTCCTCCTCCCGTCATTCCGAGCAGCGGCACTCCCTCCCGTCATTCCGAGCGGCGGCACTCCCTCCCGTCATTCCGAGCGGCGGCTTTCCTCCCGTCGTTCCGAGCGGCGGCCCTCCTCCCATCATTCCGAGCGGCGGCGCCTCCTCCCTCGAAACCGGCAACATATCATATTATTAGCCGGCTTATCATGTGCCGCCAGTAATTAGCTAATGCGCGCCAGCGGCCCTCGAGTGCATTTTTCAAGCAGCAGCGGCACGGAACGCGGCCGGCCGTGGGCGGTCCGGCGTCCATCCCGTGCCGGCACGGTCGGCGTCCAGCAGGCAGCCGCGGCAGCGCCGCACCCACAGACGGCCCGCCGACCGGGCCCGATCACTGGCAGTCGTCACCAGCCCACGCAAATGCTGGCCCCGATATTCAGCGCGCAGACGTCGCGTCTACTCGGCATGGACGGGGGGCGGCTGGGCTGCCGTACACAGCCGTCAGTGGAGCGGAGCCCGCGGCGCCGACCCGTGCAGACCGCCCAGCCCACACGCCGGCCGCCCTCTTCGCAGCGACAAAAACCGACACCTCTCCGGCAGACAAGCATATCAACCAGCTGGCCGGCGGCGTCCGCAGATTCGTCGCGCTATTCCGGGAGCAGCACCTCCGGTTCCGAAGGAATAGAGGGCTCAGGTAGCGGGATGGTCAAGCTGTGCTGCTGTGGAACAAGAGGTTCGGGGTTCGATTCCCCACGGTGTCTGCCTTTCCTGCCAGAATGAGAGGCAGACGACTGCGACGTAAAATCCCCATTCACACACATAGTTCCGGAGAAAGTCTACGAAGCGGCCACGTCACGGAGCGCTGGCCGGCGCGCGCGCGCCGAGAGCGGCGGGGCAAGGCCGCACGGCCCCGGCCACGCACCGTTAGCGGGCCAGCCGCCCTAACGGCGTCCGAGCCGGCGCCGGCTCACGGCCAGTGGGTTTGTGAAACAGGAAACGGCTGCCCTTTGTGCGCCGCCCTTGTCACAACCCACGCGCCGGCACATCCCCAGCCGGACGAGCGGTCGCGCCGGACGAACGGGCGCGCCCCACCAGCCGTGCATGCATGGCCGGCCGTATTGGCTGTGAATATGGGGGACGCCGGCTCGCCAAGTAATTTCCGCCACTTTGTAAATGACACAGCGCGCTCAAATATTCATGTGGAATGGCATGCACGGCGCTTACAGCGCAGATGCCTCGGACTGGCCTCTTACTCATTCATTTGATTTTAAGAAAGTTCACGACTCTGCGACAATGCCACAAACGTAGCGGATGGTTACAATAATCCTTAATTAAACGTGATGGTGTCTTGCCGAATATGGTAATATGTCTATAATATATGCAAGTATATATCATTGTTTAGATCAATATCTATCTATCTATCTATCTATCTATATATCTATATATATATATATATATATATATATATATATATATATCACGCATGTATATGCTACCATTGCATAAATATCTCTAGCAGTGACCTGTTACCAGTGGAAACATTACAAAAATAAAAGAAAAACAAAATAGCGTAAGTCGAAAAAGTTGAAAGACGACTTTCACATAACCGAAACCCATACAGGGGTCAGAAGCAAATCCGGTGTGCGAAGTTTCCTGCTGATTCTAGCAGCTCAGCACCACTGAGCCTCACTGGAGCCAGTTGCGCGCAACTCCGAGGCATATGGACCACTTGGCATTTCAGTCTACCATAACACTTGTCTGAGGCCGGGACATTTCAAATCTCCTACCGGATTGGCAGGCACTCGGTCATTGTTCTTCGGCTTCAACCAAAAAGGTCACGGGTTACCTGAGACCACGCGCTCGGCTACGGAAGGGGAGGGGTGTTGTGTTGTGCGGGCGGCGCACTGTATCCGGACGTCATCCAAAGTTATGCACATGCGACGCAGTATTGACATTTGCGACGCACTGCGCTGGGTTCTGATTTTAACACGTTATAAAACGGACGTTCGAACTTACGCTTCCTATTTCGTAGGTAGTGCCGGGAAGTCGCACGTAATGCGATTTAGAATGGTCCAGTTAATCAGGCAGCATCCTTTCTGTTTAACTCGCAGTTCGTATATTTTGTTTTAGTACCATTCGGGTGCCCCCGCGCAAAATATCAGGACCAATGATGTTAGCGGTCAAATATTCCCCTTTCCTGCCAAGTTTGGGTAACACTTTAAAAATTATTCTTCCCAATTTCCGACTCCATCGGTACAGATCTGGAGGAAGCCGTTTAGTCTGGTCTGCTTTGCAAACGTAGTATCATTAACGACTCCCGTCTAGAGCAAATAAACATCTATGCAGAGACCGCATTACACAATTCTGACACCGATGTGCACTTCGAATCTCGGATTTCTTTTTTCTTAATTGCGAGCAAGTAAAGGCCGTGTCAGCGGCACCGTCTCCTGGCCGATCCGGGTCAGACGCACGCCCGGGTGATCCTAGGGGGCCACATCCAATTCGTCTTCCCGCACAGAGCCGGGCCCACCCGGCACGCGTCGGAGCACACCTACCTTGATAGAGTCGAAGCAGGCGGTGACTTTGCCGTTCTGCACCTCCACGTGCGGCTGCGGGTGCGCGAACTTGCACTCGGTGTCACTTCGGCTGCACTTGTTGCGCTGGTACTCTCTACAGACCTCCAGCTGCAACCAACGCGAGTCCTTTATATTCATGCTTAGCGCGTTCACCATGTGGAAGTTGGCCATCGCAGGGCGGGAGAGCCCGGTCGGCAGCGGCGGCACTGGGGCGAAGCCCGGCGGCGCGCCCTCGCGGCTCGGCGGCGGCAGTGGCGGCGCAGCAGCGGCGGTGGCGGCGCGGCCGCGGCGACTGGCGGATCCGCGTCCGTCTGATCTCACGGATTACCGGGTCTGGCGCCGGAGCATCCAGTCCTGTTAGTGCGCGGCGTCCGAGAGTTCACCAGCACACCGGCAGCACAAGCTTAGTTTGGTCTGCAACGTTGCCCGACTCTACGGCCACTGGAAGCTTGGTGGACTATCTACTGGGTTGCGTTGTAAGCGGGGCCAGGGTTGGCAGACTGGTTGGTATAAGCGATCTTATTGGCTGCCGTGGCGAAAGAAGCTAGGTGATTGGCCGGTCGTCCTCAAGGTTATCAAGCTGCAATGAGAGAGAAAAGAAGTTATAGCACGACCTACACATTCCAAAGCGGGGAGAGCGAAGTGGCGATGCATGGCGTCCCCCCACACAGAGCGGCAGCTGAATCAGGGCGGTGGCGTGTCTGCCGCGTGTCCCCGCCACCAGGCGGCGGGGTGCGCAGCGCTATCCAACAAAGCACGGACCCCGGCCAAACGCAGGCGCCTCTTCTAAGCAAAGCACGAACAGTTGCATCTGACAACAGGCGCCGCTATTCACGATACGTTACAGAGCGTGGCTGCTACATAGGCGGCTCAGCGGCGGGCGCGCTCGGCACTCCCTGGCGCCCCGCCCCAGCCCTCCACCGGGACGGACCACAGGCGCAGCGTGCAGACGACCCAAGCAAGCGCGCCGGCCCTGCCGCACTGCCGCCGGGCCGGCCCGACCGTGCCCTTGCCGCAGCCCGGCCGGCCGGCGGGCGCGGCGCGGGCCCGGCCGGCGCGGCGACCGGACGCCGCCGAGCCGCGCCCTTCCGACACCCCTCCGCTCCGCCCCGGCCGACACATCCGCACACCCACCACACACACCTCCACTCACTTCCCGCACACACGGGCCCGTCCCCGTGGCAGCGGCAGCGACGGCCGGCCGGCGCACCTACCCGGCAAGTATGGCAGCCGCCCTCCACAAAATGGCAGCCTGGCCGCGCGCCGCACCGCCTGGCGCCGTGCAACACCGCCGAGTGATTGGCCGCGCGGCTGCAACACGGCGCGCCGGGCGGTGGCGGCGCGCGCAGCCCGGCCGGCCCCGCCTGCCGGCCGGCCGGCGCCGCGCCTGCTCGCCGGCCGGCAATAGCGCACCGCCGGCCGGCCGGCGGCCAGCGGACGGCGGCCGGCAGGCTGCAGCACACCCGGGGCGCACGCCACACAAAGAGCCGCAGCCCCTGCCCCGACCTCCGCCGGCCACGTGCCGTCAGGCCCGATCTGCGTGGTTGGGAGCGTATACGTGGGAAACGGGTGAGGGCGGGGGGCAACGGCGGTGACCCTTCTGCTTCCTGTCGAATGTTCACGGCAATCCTTAAGTGATGTACAGAAATAATTGAGCTCATGGGGCCATTTGGCCCCTGGTCAGTGTTCAGCAGGTACTTGCACCTCTGGCCCGGACGTCGGGCCCCTGGCCAGTGTTCAGCAGGTACCTGCACCTCTGGCCCGGACGCCGGAATGCCTGGTAATGGCGGCGGCCTCTCGCCTTCAGCGCCCGTTGCGGCCCCATGTTGCAGGTGAAGGTCAACGGACCAGACCAAGGCCCGTTCTCAAGGCAACCTGGAGTGGTGGGATCTATAACAACCAGGGGTGTTGTTTCCTGATCAGTGCGGGAAGGGTTTCCAGCACACCCCAGAAGAAAGCACACCAAGTCCGGGAGAAACCAGTTTGTTGGTGTATTTTGGGGCTAGTGTTTCATGTTTTTACTGCTCACGCCCCCCCCCCCCCCCTCTCCTCCCCTACCTCATCTGGCAAAACTATACCCCTGATTACAACCGAACACCTTCCGGGGATTAAACAGATTCGTATCATACTCTAAATTCAAGACAAGACTCAAAGCCGTAACTGACGATCCAGACAGGGCCCGATCAACCAAACCTTGAACAAACAACTCTGCGTATGGCGTACGATGGACACGCTACACCCCGCGGGAATGCAGCGGCCCACATGTACGGGCCCGCAGTGCCTAAAAGGGGATCATATGTCGGCAATGGGCCCGAGACAGCCACGGGCTCGCTTTCTTAACAGACAGGGACAATGAAAGGGCCTTCAATAACAAAATGGAAGAGCCCTGTGTCATCAAGGGCCCAGTATCAAACGGAAGGCTTTCTACTTCGTTGTAACCCTGGAGCCGGTAAGCCGAACTGGGGTTCCTGTGGAAATGGCGTGAGGAGTCCCGGGTAAAGCGCGAAGAGAGCAGAAGACTCCGAGAGCCCCCGTGACAGGGAGGTAACATATTTGTGATGTATTTTTATGAGGGATTATGGGTCGACCGGGGACCAGGGGCGGCGCAACACAGGGAGGGGGACAGCTGCTCTTCCTGCCGGTAGACGGGGAAGCAAGTGTCTTCCCTCACCCCCCCCCCCCAAACAAACTTTAGGGACGCCCCTTTTCCCTAACTAAAGGCAATGCAATATTCGTAGATCCCGAAAATTCAGATCATGGAAACCCTCATAACTGGCCTAGAGGGCAACAAATCGGGACCGGGCTCTGACGACCATTTTCTGCAACAGAGGCCCGTTTTCTAGATTATGACGCCGCAGTCATGAATAAGGCAGCCCGTGCTCTACATCAGAACCCAATGCTGCGTTAAGGAGGCCCCTTTGCTGGTTCGGCAGGCCCCCGGTATAAACTTGGAGGCCCTGTTCAGGGTTCATTCTGGGAAATATGGAACATGTGTCGTATTTAGTGGCTTTCGGTTCCTGCTTCAGGTAAATAAACAAAACTGAATGAAACTGTAGGATGGGCTGGCCTTACCAAGAATGGCTACATCTGGGCGGTGTTTCATGAACCCACAAGACCAACAGGTTCCCACCCACGGCCCCCACAATAAATAACTCGTGGCGCCGCCCTTGGCTTCAGTCAAAATTTTGATTTTCAGACACGACAGTGATAAGAATGAGACAGCAGCTTGCGAACACAAATAAAAAAGGCATGACTGTTTTTCTACATGCACAAACGGGCAGGTATGCAAAAAATATTCGGCAATACAGCTTAATGTTCTGTTAAGAACTTATTCTAATATTATAATATACTCCGACTTCTTCTGTTAAGAAACCGAAAGTGATTTTTTTAACTCGGCGACACCTTGGGATTTGAAGCCTATCCGGACCACACAACGCCCTGAGGTCCCATTTAGAAGTGCGGAAACGGTGCAGACAAGTAACATGAAGCTCTTCTTACATGCGGAGCGTTTCTCCAGAATGCGTAAGAGATGCAGATTCAGCACAAGGGCATAGAAAGTCCCAGGAAGTGGTGGGTGAGACCAGCTTTCGAAGGTAATTTTTCACTCGCACTGCCACAAGACAAACGTAACACTCATAGATAGTAGGCCGGCCATGGCCCCTTCCCTTACACTGCCCCTGTGCCTACACCCATTATCTGTCGTCTTCACCTAAAAGGCATTGAATGGGTGCTGGTGATCGAAATGATTATCAGTGCGCGGGGCGGGGATATTTCACATTGGATCATTCGTGTATTTCGGGCAGCTTCTTTCCTTGTATCAAACACGTTACGTAAAATCGATCTTCCCAAACGTTACAGGACGCCCATCCGCCCCCCCCCCCCCCCCCACACTTTGTCAGGTTACAAATTTCTGCGTCCACGGATGGAGAACCTCCCTTCAGTACGGCCTAAAAGGGAACAATCTACTTGCAACATGCTGGCGAACCTAAAATAGAAGGAAAGTCACATGAGTCATCCCTAAGACAGTGGAAAGGCGTGACCTGCATCTCTAGATTATGCCTTCTTGCAACTGGCAAAGAGGGTATTTCAAACCACACGCGTGGAAACAGGACAAGGGAGGGGGGGGGGGGGTGAATCGACTTTACAATTTGTTAGACAACACCTCATGGCATCCCTTCACTGATGTTTCAAACTCACCTCAGGCCCACCAAATCCAGCTTGGATCCCCTCGTTACGCCACACAAATGACAAGACAGCTTCTAGCCCCGCCATACGCGCCGCGCACCCATCCTACCACTCGCGCGCCCATCTTACCACTGAGGAGTCTAACACAGAGGTGTGGTTTCCTATCCCGTTGGAGGGGTTTAAGCCCCCGCCCCTCCCCCCCCCCCAATCCAAGCCCGGGGAGCAACCAGTCCGTTTGCGAATTTTAGGGGAAGGGTCCATAGTTGTTCAATTCCCCCTCCCCCTTCCAAATCACTTTGCAGCACTATGCCACTGGTCTCATATCAACCATTCACATTGAGAACACTATGTTATCATCAGTTACACCTACATATGCTTAAGGCAATAATATATGTAGCCTATTGTACCTAGTTTTAAGCAGGGCAATAGACTTGTAAGCAATGCAAGCCGTTATGACACCGGCGTCTAATGCACGGCGCGACAAACCCATCGCGCTCGAACCACCGGACTGTGAACTGGAATGAACAAGCTCAGGCATGGATGCGTGACAGGGGGGACTAAACAACAGTCAAAACGTCCTGACAAGCCCACGCTCTGAACATATGGGACCGATCGCCACAAAACCTTCACTTATTGGTGCACCATATCTAATATCTCAACCTTTTCCAGAGGTGGTGGCATGGGTTGAGTCAAAACTTGCTAAAAACCCCCAAAACCCCCAAAATAGAGCGCAGACAATCCCCCATGCCCTGAGCCTATGAGACCGTTCGGCACAGGAATATCATTGCCCGTTCGATGCACCACATTCCATATCCTTTCCTTTACAGCAGATGGTGATCCTCGAGTTTGATCAAGTCACCAAAAACGTCCGAAACCAGCAAAAATTTGTTTGCAGAAAACTCCATGCCCGAGTCTATGAAACCAATCGACAAAAACAAAAAATTCACTTATCGGTATGCCTTAGGTCAGTTCACTAAAATTACCAAACCGACCCCAAAGTTGGCGTAAACCTGAATTGTATCAGGAGTACGAAAATAGTTATATACCGAGTGCGGTCGAGACGAGGATATTTACTGATATCGTTTGATCGGTTCAAGATACCAATGTGCACTGGATCGAATAAAGTGACAGGTGGACAAAACACTTATTTGGTAGCAGTCAACCACAAGTCGGTCACAAGTACGTCATAAGTCAGTCAGGCATGCCACGCGACCGGGAGTTCATAAAGTCGGTCGTGAATTGCGGGAAAGGGATGGAGCAACACGTCCCATTTTGACCATTTCGGGTATGTGCAAACATGTCATGTTATACGCGTTGAAAACGCAACGCAAGTGAAAAACTTTATTTCCATAGTGATGATCAGATCAATGGAATATCTCCCGTCAGATCGATTATTTCCGATCAAAATTCCAAGCGATTCGGAAGGACTTTGAGAAAACTGGTAGTACTGATCAAGTAGGATGCGTCTGATCTAATAATAAATGACACGTGCAAACAGATGGTATGTCCTTCAAAATATTGGCATCATTCGAAAATAAGCTCACGGTGGCATATTTGTGGATGTCTAGTCCCAAGAAAGAAAAAAGACAAACTTGCCATGGTTAGCTGACACACGATATTGCGCACTAATTCATGTCAACTGCTTTGAAGAAACAAACACAACATCAGAATAGTGGAAAAATATTCTGTCAGTCACAGCGGCACAAAGATATCCAATTGAAAGCCAAACGAATACCAGTGATTGCAACGGTGCGAACTTCATCGTTGGGCAACTCATTCCCCACAGTCCATCCGCTTCCGAAACTGACATATCGCATTACCTTTATCCGGTAGTACCTTCGTTCGCCTTCTTTATTCAGTAGATTTACCGACTAAATTGCTCTTGTAATGCTCAGTAACACAGCTTACAATCCTTCATTTTGCTCAGGATCAGTTTATCACAGCACTACGGTACAAGCCAGCAGACTTCAATTTCGGCGCGTGACATGAGGCGGCGGCCGTCAACAGCCTGAAAGCCTCGCCTCCAACGCTACGGCGTACCCCTTGGTCCGTTCGCCTGTTCGCTGCCAGTGCACGTATGGCTGTCGACAAACTAAAAAGGGGACA